GAGGTGCGAGGCAGAGACGGAGGGAGGAGAGCACAGCAAGAGGCAAGAAAAGGGTGACGAGAAATGGAGACCCGGAGGGCACAGAGGAAGCAGGTGACAGCAGGACGAGAGGGCAGGGAGGTAACAGGGCCAGACTGAGCATGTACGCAGGTCAGAGTCAGGGCAGGGGAGGGCCCAGCAGGGAGAGGAGGCGGCCTGAAGGCTGGCCTTGCTGTGGAGGCCTTGTGCTGGGGACATCCACAGGGTCCTGGCCACCCAGCCCCACCTACCGATGCAGGCCCGTCCGAAGGCATCCCGCTGGAAGCCGGCTTTGCAGTCGCAGCGGTAGGAGCCCGGAAGGTTGTGGCACACCTGGCCCTCGCCGCAGCGGTGCACACCTGTCTCACACTCGTTCACGTCTGGACAGAGCAGGGGTTGAGCAGGATATGCTGAGGCCTGGGCGTGCCCTCTGCATGGCCTCCCACAGCGGGGACGGGGAGGTGGCTGACCTTACCCACACACTTGGTCCCGTCCTCACTGGCGTGGTAGCCACGCCCACAGACCAGGGGGTTCCTCTGGCACGTGTAGGAGCCCACCGTGTTGATACAGCTGAAGCCCGGCCGGCAGGGCTCCGACAGCGCGGCACACTCGTTGATGTCTGTGGAGCCAGAGGCAGTGACAGGGAGCCTGGCCCACCCCTCCCCGCCCAGCACCTGGGCCCAGGACCACGTGGGCAGGTGGCCAGTCCTGGGCTCCAGAATGGCCCTGGGAGGTCTGGGGGCCACACAGATCCAGCCCTGGGCCCAGGGGATGCACTTCCTAGAACCCACACACTTGCCAGGCTGACTACATTCTCCTCATGTCCGACCCAAGGGAGCGCTGAAGGTGGAGGGGAAGTCAGGCTGAGTTCTAGGATGACTGCAACCTCCAAAGCTGCCCTGCCACCCGATGAGCAGGGCCTGCCCCCTCTCCCTCACACCGCCCAGCCCACCATCCTCCCCCATTCCACACTGCCTGGGGGCCCCTACAGGGCTTTTCCGTGTGCTGTCCCCTAATATTTTCATTTCTGGCCCCTCACTTCCTCAGGTCCCAATGTCACCTCCACAGGGAAGCCCTCCTGGACCAGTCTAAGTAGAGAAGCCGCTCCCGTAAGTTTTTATCTCCAATTCACATTATTATTGATCAAAGTGCCCATGAATAACTGTCACGTTTACAAACGTGGTTACTTGCTTAATCCCTCCCCCACTGAAATGTCTGGCTAGGGACCAGATGCCGGCACAATAGTGAAATGCAATGCTCGGGGGCACTGGGCCCCAGGGGAAGGCTCCAGATTCGAGGAAAGAGACCTCCGTGTGTGCTGGCCTGCACACCTCCACGATCCAGGACTGCCTGCCAGTGGGGCAGACTGTGGTATGGTGTTAAAACCCTATCAGTGTGGGCCAGCTCCACGGCCTAGTGGTTAAGGCATCTGGGTCCTATATGACAGACTCCATAGTTCCAATCCCAGCCCCGGCAGATTAAAAAACACTTGGACGGGACCAGCAGTTTGAGTAATGGCTATGTCACTGGACTCCCATGTAGTCGACCACAGTTCGAGTCCTGGACCTAGTGGCTTAAACTCACACTGGGCACATGTGCATGCCCAAGATCCCGAGAGGAGAATGGAGGAGAAGGGATTGCGGCGTGGCCATCCCCCCTAGGGGGTGATTTTTCATTTTCTGTCTCTCTGTCTCTCTCTGTCTTTCGGCCGAGCTCACACACCCTATAACAAAAACCTCTCCAAAAACAACAAAAAAATTGATGTGTGTTCTTCCAGTCCAGCCCACAGGTGGGTAAACTGAGGCCACGAGAGACCGCCCTCTGCCGGGGTCAGACAGCTCAGGTAGGGCAGCTCACATGGTACAGGTGCCTCCTGGGGTAAGGCCTTGATACACCCACTCACAGGTAGGGACAGAGCCAGGCTTACCTGTCTCAAGCCCTCAGAGCCCCCCACGGAAGAGCCCCACGACTAGGTGGCCATGCTCCTGTGCCCCGCTCACCCACGCAGTTGCCCTCGGGGTCCTGCAGGAAGCCGGCCATGCAGCGCTGCCGAGCCTGGCAGTAGAAGGAGCCCTTGGGGTTCTGGCATGAGGAGCACGCCTGGAAGTTGGGCGTGCCACTCATCCACGTCTGTCACACAGAGGGTGGGAGTCAGGGGGACAGCCGGGCAGCCCTGGCCCTCCGAGGCCCCCACCCTCAGGCCGCCATGAGGGGGACAGCCAGAGGGTCTTGCATCCCAGAGAAAGGGAAAAAAAGAAAGAAAAAGAAAGAAAGAGAGAAAGAGAAAAGAAAAAAAAAGAAAAGAAAAGAAAAGAAAAGAAAAGAAAAAGAAAGAAAGAGAGAAAGAGAAAAGAAAAGAAAAGAAAAGAAAGAAGGAAGGGGAGGGAAGGGAAGGAAAGGAAGGAAGAGAGAAAGGAAAGAAGGGAAGGAAAGGAAAGGGAAGGGAAGAAAGAGAGAAAGAGAAAGAGACAGAGACAGAGAAAGAGAAAGAGAGGAAGGAAGGAAGGAGGAAGGAAGGAAGAGAAGCTGATGTGGTCGTTTGGCCAGCATGGCCTGTGTTCCCACAGTAACGATCTAACCATGCTCACAGGGCTTCTCCTTGTTCCCTGGCACTGTCCCAAGCACTCTGAGATGAATGTATTTATCCCCTACTCCCGGCAACCCCGCGGGGCTGTGACTAGCTCCGTCTTACAAAGGGAGAAACTGAGGCTCCAAGTTTCCACCGCTCGAGAGTGCTGGGCTGAGATCAGAACCCAGGCAGTCTGGCTCCCGAGCCTGCACTCTAGCCCCTTGGCCCACACTGGCTGGGGTAGACAGAAATGGAAGGTCACGTGGGGACGCGTCTGGGGAGGTGGCACTGGCAGCACAAAGACGCCAACCCTAGCACTTTTTTCTGGGGTTTTGAAAATGCCAAGACACCTTCCTTCCCGTCTTTCCCACCCGAGGTCGGAGAAGGGCCACCGCACCCCACTTTCTATCCCTGGTGTCCAGAACCTTGCCAGGCATATACAGGAATCTCCGGAAATATCTGCTGAAAAGGTTGAATAAAAATTCACCCTCCCGAGTAAACAGCAGAATCTCTGACTTGGCTGATAACACTGCACGCATGCCGGGAAAAGCCAGACTGTACACAGCAAAGGTGTAAGTGATCAAATGCAGATTTTAAACATGGAAAAAATAATGGTAGAATGTCATAGAGTCCTTTTACCCAGCTTAAAAAAAAATTTAAAAACTCCCCCCTAGGGGCTGGCCCAGTAGTGTCACAGTTAAACATGGGCCTATGGAACCAGATTCCACATGGCCACCTGCAGTGCTAACCCCAGCCCTGGCCCTGGGCCCTTGGAAAACGTGCTGAGCATGTGCCCCAAATCCTGGCAGGTGGAGAAACGGAGGAGGCAGTGGTGCGCTGTGGCCACACCCACTGGAGGATGCTTTCTGTTTTCCTCTGGTGAGTGCACGCACCTTCCGGCAAAAAAGAAAGAGAGGGAGAAGGAAGGAGGGATGGAAGGATGGATGGATGGAAGGAAGGAAAGAGAAAGAAAAAGAAGAAAGAAAGAGAGAAAGAAGGAAAGAGAGAAAGAAAGAAAGAAAGAAAGAAAGAAAGAAAGAAAGAAAGAAAGAAAGAAAGAAAGAAGAAAGAAAGAAAGAG